TATTATTATTATTATTATTACAACAGCAGCAGCAACAACAACCATGCAGCAATAGTTGTGGTGGCTTGAATCCCATTAGTTATCCCAATTAGACTAGGCCTATTGAATCAATTGTTGAAATTAAATCCTATTGAATCTATTGCTGAATGATGACTCAACAGTTTTGTAAATTCCACTGATAATAAGTCTGGTCCAGCTGGGATTATGCAGGGTGAGAAAGGTGCAGACCTCCAGATGTTGCTGGATTGTAACCCCCAGCAGTCTTAAGGGGGAAGCAGACAGCTTAAAGAGCTGTTTTGGGGGCAGGGGAGAGGAGGGGCAGCCGCACGATTGGCGCCCCAACCCCTTCCCCAGGTTGTCCTTGGAGCAGCCAGCCCTCCGCACAGCGGGCGCTCCAAGGAGGACCTCTTGCTGCAGCATCCACACACGCTGCAGCAGAAGAGTCGCCGAAGGTGTGCCAGCTGACTTTTGCGGAGTACTTTCAGCAACTTGTGGAAGGAGCACCAATTTAGCGGTCCTTCCAGGGGCGGCAAAGCTGCACTGCGGGGCTGAGGTGGGGGATACCTCAGCCCCGTGGTGCAGCTTCCCGGGGCAGCCCACGGCCGCCCGTCTGCTTCCCCTCCTCAGTCAACATAGCCAATGATAAGGAATGCTGGCAGTTGCCACACCTAAAGGGTCCCATGAATTTCACCCCTGACCAATCTGTTCAAACCAATGGATCTACTTTCAGTGGGCCTAACAATTGGTTTTAGGAAAATGTTTCAAAAATTTTGTAATTTTCGACATGACCCGCTATTTAGCCCGGTTTTCACTACTTCTTAAAAATTCATCTATTTCATGATTACGTCATACATTGATAATTGTTAAGTCTCTATTGTAATTCTTCACATCAAGCTTCAGGAAGTTATTTTAATGTTGGTATTTTTGTTTCTTCTTTTTTCCCTTTTTTTCCTTTTCTTTTTCTTTTTTCTTTATGTTTTTGTTGGGTTTTTTTATTAATTTTTATAGAACATTACATTTAACAGGAAAAAAAAGTATAACATTTCTTCTTCTTTGTTGCTTAAAGAAAATTTTTTATACAGAGCATTACTTATAGGCTTCTTAATCCTTTTGAGTTCTTTTCATCTCGTTATATTATTGTTCCCTCTAACTATTAACAATGTTAAGATGATTTTAGTCATTTTACGCTTAAAGTGTTCTTGAACTGTCTCTGAGTA